GGCTCAGAATAAGAGGAGCCTAATCCGTTCTTCCCCGCGAACTCACTTTTTATTCTCTTTTTTTTTTAGGGAGAGGCACACAAGGATACATCATAATTACAATACATAATCATCTCAACTTGATCGAAATGTACCACAAGTGTATAGAGAACACGTTTACAACGATAATCGAACATAAGGTAAGCATGCCACAAGACAACCAATCGAGAACAAACAAAGGACAAAACAATTCCGTTAATCCACATGCGAGTTCCAATGTCAACGAATCATCAATCAATTAAAGGAAACCGTCAAATTCATCAAGTACATCAAGCATGAACGCTAATAGTGAAACCAATCAATAATCTCGACTCACCACTTGGCTGTCTCGACTCTCGAACAAACATCAAGTTTCATGCGGGAGAGATGACACAAACACACAAAAACTCAAATAAAACCGGTCCATGACACGACAAAAACGAAAAATAAGGCACAAAAACGAAAAGAAAATACACCTAAAGCATGCATAATCACGCAAACCCCTCCCCCACACTTAAAACAAAGCAATGCCCTCATTGCTTGACCAACAAAAGCATAAGAAAGAACACGTAATCACATAAGCTCATGCGAGAAAATAAAAATAAAAACAAAACGAACTAGACAAACGAGAAAATGAAAAGAAACACGAAGAGAAAAAGAAAATAACGAAGGGAAAAGAAAGCGCGTACTCTACACGGTGGTGTTCCACCGTGTGTCTAATGGTGTTAGTCCGGTGGGAATACGAGAAACAATCCAAAGGTCCTTGAGTGCAAAACAAAGCCATCCAAACGAGTGAACAATAAAAGCATATCGATCCATAAGCCAATCGAGCACTATAGTATTTGAAAGCATAAGAGAATCCCATCTTTAGGCACCGAGTAATGGCCACATGTATGCGTCTCGAAGAGATAATAACCGAGAATCCACAAACTCAACGTAGACGCACGTATCATGAAAGATCAAAATTGGGGCCTCTAGCCCATAATAATGCTCGCCATGGAATGACCCGACCAACTTTTCAATCGAAGCATAACCTCACGCACAACCGACACCAATGGTATAGTGAAATTCAAATCAAACGCCAAAGTGCACCGCATTTCCCCTAAAACAATCAACAATAACTCCGAACGAGCCTCACACCAGAAGACAATAGCCATAATCCTCCAAATGATCAATATATACTCATGAGCCCCCGATACACCTCCCCCACACTTAGCATATATCACCTCCAACTCAATAAATCACGCCCAATTCAAATACAAATGAGTCGAGTTGGTCTAAGTGGAATACCTCGTAAAACGACGATCTCGGCACCAAGAGTAAGAAAAATCGGGCAATGAACCTCGCTCCAAGAGAGTGAAAAATC